TCGGACATTAGAGATTTTCTCTCATAAATGTCCGATGAGCCACAACTTTTATTTCAAAACAAAGCTGCCAACTGGGGTGGCAAGGCATTTTTCTGAGGTGGCAGCTGCCACCCCGTGCCATCCCATAGAACCGCCACTGCTTGAAATCTGAAATTAAATATTATGTTAATAACTTATTTTGTTACTAACTTTCTTTGTATCTTGTATCTTTCTTGGAAGTTGTTAAATATGCTTTTGTGTCTTCACTTGCTGTCTCTCCTTCCTCCCTTACAGCAGCAACCTTCTGGGGGCCATGTCCATGTAGATGTGTATTACTTCACTGTGGATAACAGGAATGTCCTTCTCAATTTGGCTTCTGAGTGTGTCTTTCACACACCGGCAGCTTAGTCATTTGTTCATCACCACTCACCTTCAAAATAAACAAAGTAAAGCCGGCATAATGTGGGACAGTAAAGTCGGAGGTGCTGCTACCTGTCTGTCTGAAGGGACTGCCGATGTCCGCACCGCTGTGCGCCAGACGTGGAGGGAGGGAGGGAGAGAGAGCAGCGGAACTTCACAGTCTAATCTCCCTACCTGATTTTTCATTTTTATTCAAGCAATATATTTTTGGAAAGTGTGCGCAAACAGCAGTAGATACATATTCATTTATTTAAAAAAATAAAATAAAAAGCACCCCATAAAAAGGGCACTTTCTCTGGAGGAAAGAAAGGGCAGGGGCTCAAGCCCACTTTGAGGTCTATGTGTGCACGTGCCTGCAATGCAGTGCAAAAGAGATGTTGGTATGGATCTGGGCATTAAGAGGTTCTTCAAATGTTTTATAAACTTAAGTTAAGAAGTTAAAATGTCTAAACAAACTGTATTGTTCCGTCACATGTTGGAAAACTGTCTTCTCTCTTAGAGCAGACAAAACATGCGCTAATTGCAATTGCTGATTGAAGCACGGCGCATTTGTCTTAATCACTAGCTGTCACTGTTAGCAAAGAAGACTGACATTTATTGAATGAGTTCTGTTTGGGATGCCAAGTGAATGATGTTCACTTTGTTGTTATTAGGTTGCCCAATCATCAGCCACAGATACTGTAGCCCTTATGAAAGCACATGACATTAGCTAACTTAGCAAAGCAGTGTTAGCTTACGCTGCTTGTAAGTTAGGTGCCTACTTAGGCAGCAGCAAACTGCACAGGCTCTTCCTCGAACTCCAAGACAAAGTTTACAAAAAGTTACTTAAAAAATAATGGTTAAAGTACAAAATGGTATACTTCTCATGTCAACTTGCATTGAAATGGGCGCATATTGTAGATGCTAATGCTGTACTGCAAAATAGTACTTCCAGTAGAATTACTCCCTGGATTCTAGTGTAAAAAGAGAAAAATAACTATAGGCTACATGAGTTAATACAACCACTGGTATTTTTGGATTTTTACATTGCTCTTAGTGTAGAGAAACGTTGGGATTTCCGACTGGCTGACAAGCTCGACAGACAAGCAGTAGCCTATCTCAGAGAACGTAGCGTGTAAGGTGCGGCCCATGCTCCCCTGCCAGCAGAAGATGAAGGCTCTCTCCCCCAAAGGAGCGCCTGTCCCCTGGGCCTGGTTCACAGGCGAACAGGCGGCAGATCAAAGGCCTCACATCATATCCACCCTCTGATTGGGAAAACAAGCCAGATGCAGTTCTTATTACACAAACGCCTGATATCTGTAAACAAATTACATTCATAAAGTATATTTGAATGTTGCTTGTAAAGATGAATGCCTTTAAAGCAAGTTTGGTGGAATACGATATGTTTGTTGCAGTCAAAATATCTGTTCAAAAGCCAAAAAATAACATTGAATTCTAATTACAAGTAATGTATATGAAGCCAAAACCTTATGTGTATTTTCAGTTAGATACACTGTTGAACTGGGTGCCTTTCCCTGCATAACCATGAATGTGGGAACAGAAATGTAATTAGAATGTAGAAAAGCTCTCTAAACCAGCAATTGGCAATATCCCACGGGAAATAGTAATGAATAAATGCAATTTTTACTTTTTTTTGTTACGTTTCTACAAACTGAAGTGCATGACATAATAAGGAAAATCTTAATATGTAAAAAGTAAACACTTGTGGAGAATGAGGGATGAACCATGCATTTGTTGATGATCAGACACATCTAGAATAGGCAAGCCTTATTCTGTAATCCTAACCTGATACTAATGAAGAATAAGAACATCAAAAAACACACACATGGAAAATTGTTCCACAAAACAAAACACCGCTTTGAAAAGTACATGTGGTGTTTTTGGTTTCATACAATAAAAAAAAAAAACGTGGCCATTTGAAATAACATAATGATTGGGGTCTTTTGATTGAAAAAAGAAATGTATTAAAAACACCACGTTTACATTCTTTCTTTCTTTCTTTCCAGAGTATAACATCTCAGCTGCAGCCATCTCCATCTTCAGTCTAGCCTTCATGATCTTTGGCTCTCTGTGTCTGATGGGATCATGTACCGGCAAAAGGCAAAGGAAGAGACTACCTCCTTAAACCTGCTGGCATGTTTTATGCATTTGCAGGTGGGCTCAGTAAAACAACATCACTTCAATTTATCTTGCAGCATTTTTGTGAGCTACCAACTAATTGTACACATTTCCTTCATTACCAGGTCTCTGTTGCTTCATCTCACTGGAGGTGATGCGTCAATCAGTGAAACGCATGATTGAGAGCGAGGAAACAATCTGGATCGAATACTACTACTCCTGGTCATTCGCGTGTGCCTGTACTGGATTTGTCCTCCTGTTTCTCACTGGCTTTGCCCTCCTGCTTCTCTCCATGCCGCAGATGCCTAGGAATCCATGGGAGACTTGCATGGACGCCGAGCAGGACCAAGTGGAGTGATGACGGACAGATGATTACAGGATTTGAGGAGAGTGACTGTGTCTATTGTTTTGAGTACATATTCAAGGATAGGTTCAATTCAAGAACAGGCCATAAAATGGTAACGTCATGATGACTAACTGGTTTGGGGTGTGGATGGACCATAGCAATGAAGGGAAATTTACCTCACTACAATTATAAAGCAACTTGAATATGGGGCGTTTTCGGAGTTATGAATGTCCGCCTTGTCATGCATGTCCTACTAGAGCGTAAAATATAGCAATCCACTTTGATGGGGTTCATGTTGGAGATCACAACTTAAATCTGACATGAAGCCTCAAAACCACCATACTTCTCAAAAAGAGCCAACCTGGTCTAAACAGCACTTTTGCCTTTTACTCCTTTACTGCTGGTATATTTAAACAAATAACTTGAAAAGGCAAACAATTATTTATCAAGTCACTGTTTTGTAAGATGGTTTTAACATCATTATGCCCTGACTTAGTTAAAAAGTTGTAAATATAATTGGATTCATTGACATTTTAAGAATATAGTTCATACAGTTAAGACCAGACATCTACATAATGTGATATGATGTAGTGCACTTTGTATGATATTTTGTAGATATCTAATGTTCATCTGTTGATTTTTCAATGGGATCGCTCAAGGAATCAATTATTTACTAGAAGTATCAACAAAATGTGTTTGGTTGAGATTGAAATGTTATGTTTCTAAGATTTGAAAATTAATTAAAATCCCATTAAAATAAGACCTTTGTGAATAAACGACTGATTTCAGGCGAGGCAGATGCACCGAGCAGGTTTGTGTGTGTGTGGTAGGCTGAATGCTAAACACCCACACACTCCGTGCTGGACAAGCTTCAGCTCTAGCAGGTGCACATACAATGCCTTTTACTTTTTTGTTGACAGCTTACAAACCAAACAGATACAAAAAATGCTCTGTTCTGTACATGCGTCATCATGACCCAATTGAAACACATTGGTATTTGCATCGGCTCAACTACATTTTCTCTGTGTGAAAGAAGTGTATGGAGATCATAACATCTGACACAGGCTCATGCTCTGTATTTGTGCTGTGTGTCAGTTTTGTTTCAGAATGGATTTTCACTATCCAGTCAATTCAAAACACAAATGTACATACGTTTTTACAAAGCAAGCAAACATTTTTTTTCATCGACATTACCTACTGTGCAACAGTTTATTTATGTGAAAAGCCTGCAGCTATTGGTAAGAGCAACCGTCAATGTCATCATAGGTTTGTTTAGTGCAAGTCTATTTAATTAGTTAGTTGTATTTATTTTGACTGAGTTGTAAGATTCATTTCACAGAATGGAAAAGTGGAATAAATAACACAAAAATAGAATACCTATTGTCATGGTAATTGTTGAAATTAATTTCTATATGTTTTTTCTGAATATTGAATGTTTTTGAATGCAGCATATTCTGTGTGTGTTTCTTATGGGCTATTTCTTTGTAACCAAAAATAAATCTTAATTAGCTTTGGAAACTTTTTTTCTTTCCTTTTTTGTGTTTCCTTTGCTTTCATGTACCAAACAATGGGGTGAGATTGTTGATGCCAAGTGTGTGTTGTTTCGGCTGTACAGAGACTGCATTTGTCCGACATGATGCCCCTGGCTGGTCTAGGATCAGCATCACATTTCTTCTCTCACTCCGTCACTGTCTTGCAAATTTTCTTTTTTTTGGTTCCTTTTAAACGACAACACATTCATACAGCTACGACCAAACACTGCACACTATTTCATACATTTAGTTAAATGTGGTCTCCCTAGAACAACTGTCAGTAAACTTCCCTTCATTAGTCATGACATTAGGGCTAGGTTGAGACAAAAAGGAGAGCAGCTGCTGACACTAACTTCTAACTATGTAGATGGTTTTAAGTGTTAAATCCAGTGTCTATCCACACAGGAACATTAAGTGGCTCTACACTGCAGAGGAGACACGTTCTTGTCTTTCTTTCTTTCTGCAAGGGCTGAGATCCAAGCCTTTAGTCCTAAAGGAAACAACAGATGCAGCTTCAATCTATGGCACACCCCCAAATAATTCCTGTATTCTATATTACTGCTGTTTAATGCAGAGGATGTTACAAAAACAAAGGCAGAACTCTAGAAGTTTCAATAAAAACACTTTAATAGAGAAACAAATAAAAAAAGAAAATAAACCTTTGAAACACAGTCTAAATCCTTGATTATAACCACCACCAATTGAAATGAAGAAGAGTAAAACAGATCTATTCATTATTTGTGTACCCACGAGGGAGGAACCAATGGGAATGGGAGGCTGGGAGAACAGGTGAGCCATTGATTCACTGCAGCGAGGGAGGGAGGGAGGGACAGAGGAGAGCCAACAGAGAACAGGAAGAGATGTGGCGTTTATAGAAGGCTTAACACAGTGCTCTCTACTGGCTGGGCAAAAGGTTGCTCCCTCTCCATGTGCCACACAAACTGGTTTGTTTTCTTTAAAAAGGCAACACTGATTTTTTTTAAAGAGAATAATTAATATAATGAAACATGGTTCAATATTGCAAGGTGAAAACATTTTCAAATCCAACTTAAAGACCTTTAGTTTCACAGTAAAGATCATGGCAAACTCATTTTTGGAACAAAGTCTTAAAAGTTTACAAATCAGCATTGATGACAAGTTGTAAATAACATCTGTTTAAAATGTCTTTGGCTCAATCTCTTCTGCTTCAAAATAAATAAAAATGAAGAAGCGGTGAAATATTAGTATTGCACAACTTCAGAGATTAGCCATTTGCTAAGCAAAGTAAGTTTTGTAAAGATGACACACAGCAGGGAGCAACCTGAGCTTCAGCCCTGCTAAGTAACAGCAGAAAAAAAAGGACTTAAATGACCATTACATATTTGATTGACATGTTAGTAAAATATTATAATATTTTTGTTGATAATGTCACAAGTTATTGTACACATCAAATAATATACCAAAATTTGTCTCTGAAGGTTGAACATAAACTTTTTTTTTTTCTTTTTTTTTTACTTTTTAATTCATTCACAAATCAATACAAACTGATAAAAACAGGGATAAAACCAGCCAGGTCATCTCAACATGCATGAAAAGAAAAAAAAAGTCTTCACATTAACAAAAAGAAATCAATCTATGTTGATTGTTGTGAGAAAACAATACAGGACAAATCCAGCAACATATACTTTCCAATATGTATTGTACAGTGAAATAAGTCGTCTGAAAACAGAAACTCTCCTCTTTGTCAAATCAGCCAGACACCATCTTATCAAAACAATCTAAAAGGTTACAAGATGTTGCAACTATCCACTGGGTTATTGTTGTCGTTCATTATTCCTAGGATTATTCTTTTTTTGCTTTGCATAATTAAAAAGGGCATACCTCTTCTTTGAACAGCTTCTACAAAATCGAGGCGCTCCCAAAGTTTGTTTGTAAATACCTACAAAATGCATATTTACAAGTATGTGTTGTTTTCCGCCAAGTCAAAAGATCTGAGCCTTTGAATGACAATGTGAAAACTTAAAAACGTAGGAATAAGAACATGAAGCTCTCCGCTGAGTGTTAAAAACACATCTATGTAAATAGCTGTAGGGCAATGTAGCTATCTGAGGAACGCTTTAAGAGACAGAACGGTGACTCGCTGCCGTATGAAAGCCACCGAACAGCACCATGCTTTTGGTACAACTTTATCGATTTGCAAATGGGGCCGTGGTATTTTAACAATTCAAATGAAATGCATAACAGAATTGAGTACTGGATGACTGCTTCCAGCATTGCGTTTATTATTAAAGAAAAACCTTGGCAGATATAGTTCAACATCTTTTTAGATTTGGGACTCAAATGAATGTGTCATGTTCATGTTTTTTTGGTGAGAGGTAAAAAGGTCATTTGAACGTCGCAAATGTAAAATACATCCAGAGCCATTTCATTTTGATTTGAAGTGAATGAGATTATTCAATCTGTTCTAATATTAATATATCAATGGGACTGAAAAGGTGAATAATGTAACTATCTGAATAACAACGAATAAGACGTGACCGATTCCTTCGTATCACGCACAGTCTTTGAACAGCTTGTAGTGTAGTGACTTTTACTTTGTTACCTTTTTGGTTAAATCTCAAGCAGACTGTTGGAAAGGATGATGGGGAAAACGTCTTCCATCGAACGATCTACAATTCCCCAAATATGGTAAGGAGGATGTTTATTGACAATGATCAATGTTTTTGGTAGAACTTGGAGCACATATTGGCTAATGGATGAGATGCATGTGTATTATTTATATGACAAAGAGATTTAAAGATTGTCTTAAAGAAAATAGAGACTTTGGTCTTTGGGAAATCTATCTTACAAAGTGAAGGGATTCAAGAAACTGGGAAATGCATGGCTACAAAACATCTACGAGACCTACGCTGAGCATATTACAGCAGCAGTGATCCGAGCGCTGTTTGCTACGGTGACAAAGATCCAGTACTGCTCTGAGAAAACACATTTGTGAGTAATTCATGTGTATTTTTAAATGTCGGGGTATTTTCTATGTCTCTACAGTCTCAATATACTTCTGATTTAACCAAAAAAGCACACATTTAGCGTGTTCAAAAGCGTCTGACTGGCAGTGTTGATCACACCCTCAGTTTCCACTTACCCATCATGACACACCACTGACCCCACCACTCTCTTCACTTTCACAAACCCTCAGAGTACTGCAACCTTTTCAAAAGAAGCTCAACGTCAATTAGTGACAAAACACATTGCATATCGTCAGCAGTAATTAAAACCATTTCCGTGGTGTAGCTTTTTGATGACACGAACTAAAGAAATCAAATGACTGAGAATCGGCCACAAGCAAAGCAGTTTGGGATAATCCTATCATAGAAAGTGGTGTCTGGTGTTCTCTGATCCTTAACACAAACAAAGGAGGAATTGAGAGGTTGTTGTTTTTCGGACTTTTTTACACTGTATCTTTTGTTGCTGATGAGACATTGGTGAAAAGTAAAATATGAAATTGTCATTTTTTTGAAAACAATCACATTTACTACTAAATTACTGAAGATAATTCCTAGCTATTTCCAGGATGTCTAAGAATTAAGGATCAGAAGCCAACAAACAAAAATAATTCATAATGCAAATGCTAGCATGATACAGGAATTTAAGGACATGTCTGTGGCATACAATTCAGTCTTTTATTTTCTTTATATTTACAGATTAGAGGAAAATGTATCTACTTCTATACACTGTTCCATGTAGTTTCTGTGTCGGTTGACCACTTAGCTTTTGTCCGTTACCACAACTACAGTAGTTTGAAAATCAAGACGCAACGTCCACTCAAAACTGAGGAATACAAAGTGATAAAACCGTCAACATACTTTTTCTAGTAACCAACAAAACCAACTTCAATAAGGAAAAATATGGAGGTAGCCAAGTGGTCAACCGAATCTCACCTTTTTATATTTTATTTTTTTTATAACTTTTTTTAGCATTACGTACATATACAAGTGTAGATAATATAAGTATATATTCATATATACATAATGAGTATGTATATATACCGGTAATGCATTCATTATATATACTTATTTTCTTCACAGATATGTGAAACAGGAGAAAAAAGGACTGTTACAAATAAAAAGTTAAAATGAAACAAAAATGCAGAAAAAAACCTACTGATAGAAACAATTTATAAATGCACTTTGTACTATTTTTTTTTGTGTTTTTAGAAACAGTTTTACCTTTTTTGTTTTTGTTTTATATATTTCAGTACTTACTTATAATGTGGGAGAGGTGACACTTATTTAAAGTAGGAATAGTACCCATTGCTACCATTTGAACTTCCTATACTCAGCTCTTGTAGGAGGGAGAGGGGGTCGCTGTTCTTTTTGGCCTGTTCAGGGCGAACAGCTCGGGGTTTGGGTGGAGCGCGGAGGGCGCTGGCGTAGGACATGGTGGGTGGTTTGCTTAAATTTGGAGCCCCCTGGCTGGCCTCTGCGGGAGCCTGCGGTGGGGGGGGTGGGGGGGGTTGCTGCTGCTGCTGCGGCGGCGGTGGCGGCTGCTGCTGCTGCTGTGGCGGCTGCTGCTGCTGCTGCTGCTTGTTATTGGGCATGAGAGGAGGAAACTGTCCGAGGTGCTGAAGGGAGTTGAGGGAGTGGGGGTGCGTCTGCTGTCCTGCTGTGGCCTCGGCCTTCGCCTGCTCCTCCGTCTGACGAAGGGCTTTGGCAGCTGCCGGACCCACAAAGAAGAAAGGAGGAGAGAAAAAGAGAGGTGCCGCAAAAAGATACAAAGTGAATTAGACCTGAATGGAACATCATGAATACATCTCAAACAGCTCTGTATTTGAGGAACAAAAGCCCATGTGGCGAAACATCGGCCATCAGACTTAAACAGCTGAACTTTTGAAAGAACATCCATAACATTCATCTTTTTGCAACTTATATATATATTACTATTCCAATTACTTGTATATAGACTATTCTGCACTATTTCTATTCTATTCTATTTGATTTGATTTACTTGCTCTATTATCTGTTTAATTGTGTTGCACTGTTGGAGGAGCCTGGGACCTAAGCGTGTCATTGTCATAACTACACTGTAGCTATAAAAGCCTTGAATCTTGAAACCTACCCATTAAGTCCCGGTGCTGAGCGAGGGTGGCGGCTCCGTTACATGGAATGTTCTGGAACGGACCAGGACCGGGGCCTCCGCCGTTACTCGGCCAGACGTCATGTGGGGGGTAACCGTAGGGGGCGTGTGGGTGCTGATGGTGCTGTATGTGTGGATGAGGGTGTTCCTGGGGGTCTGACGGACAGGGCTGGGGCTGCTGGGACAAGGCAGCGTGGGCGTTGGCTGGAGACGAATCATCCGGGTAGGTGGAGGAGATGCGGCGCTGATAGAGGGGCCGGCCCGGACCTCTTGGTTCATACTGCACAGATAGGAAGGAGAGATGGATGAGGAAGAGGAATGGGGGAGGGATTTAGCCTGACAGAACGGTGTGCAAAATATCCTTAAAAGAGGAAGAAACCCTTAAGCAGCTTCTCATTCAGTGATGGAGGCATCAATGAAAGAGAGAACACTCCTGTGCAAGCGTTTGCCAAATATCTGCTTTATGCATTCAGCACTATTTACATTTTTCTATTCAAATTGAACTTGCCACTAAAAATAAGTAAACAACTTTATCTTGTTCACACATGTAATCCATTTCCTCCCCCGTTACACAGAACCTGAGCTACACATTGTTATTCTCCTTCTGCATCTTTATCAAATGTGTGAGATTTAATCATTCAGATGTTATCAGGAAATGCTAAATCTCTACTTTATGCAACACAGAGATGAGCATTTGAGACACCTCGGCTAATCCAATCATATCATCTAAACTGTAACAACTGGTGGAGAACATGTAACCAAATGCCACATTTTTGCAAATGCCTTGAAACAAATTGTCAGATGTTATGTACTTTATAATGACTCAAATAAAAGTCAAAATTAAAGAAACATACCTCATCTACATTGTGAAGGGCTGTGGCTGCTGATGTTCTGGGCGACAGAGGGTGGTAGGACTCCTGGTCTGGACCTTGACTTTGCTGCTGCTGCTGCTGCTGCTGCTGCTGTTGCTGCTGCTGCTGCTGCTGTTGTTGTTGTTGTTGTTGTTGCTGCTGCTGTTGTTGTTGCTGCTGCTGCTGCTGTTGTTGTTGTTGTTGTTGGTGTTGCTGCTGCTGCTGCTGTTGTTGTTGCTGCTGCTGCTGCTGCTGCTGGTGCTGATGGTGAAGTTGCATCAGGTGGACTTGCTCCTGCTGCCTGCTTGGATGAGCCATGATGGGCATGGCATAAGGAAGGCTGTGACCCTGGTTCCCCAACAGGTGGTTCTGCTGTGGTGGGCTCACTGACGCAGCTCCACCATGGGGCCACTGGGCCTCTTGCAGAAGGTATTTGACCTGGGAGGAAGGGGGGCTGCCAGAGTGGGCAGGGGGTTGATGTGGGTAGTTACCAGCGTTATACAGGGGGTTGGCCGGGTGCTGCTGCAGAGCTGGGTTGTTCAGAAGGTTTTCATTGAGCATGTCACGGCCTGGGTCATGGGAGTAGGGTCCTGATGGGTAAGGGCCAGCATGATTGGAGGTGGCGGCCAATGAGGATGAAGGGTCACCTGAGGAACGGGACTGAGACTGGCGGTACTGGAGGAGACGGGATTGAGGTGGAGGCTGCATTTCAGCTGGATCCCTGGGTTCAGGCTGTTCCTGAGGGGGCATCTCTCTCAAGAGACCCGGGTACCTGGGAATTACAAATGTATTTAACACCCAAACTCATTCAAGCAGCAGCGAGGGAAAAAAAACAACAATAACTGAAGGGCAACCAACCAAAATAACATTCAACAGCAATATTTACAGTCCAATTTCAAGTAATTCTCTTGTTTAGTTTGCTCTTCTGCACACTCAATTTCATACATAACACGTTCAAAAGTAAAACTAACATTTCTTTAGATATAGGTTACAGACCAACAAGAATGCATATTAAAGAAACTTTGGGTCATTGTTACCTGTTGAAAGGCGGCCCAGAGGTGGCAGAGGTTACAGCCTCGTCCTCCATGTTGGTACCGAGGCCCCAGCTCGCAGCCCGGAGCAGCTGATGGGGGAATCGAGCCATGCCGGGCTGAGCCAGGTGGGCGAGCTGCTGAGGCAGAGGGAAGGCGACGCCGCCCTGGAGGAAAGGGCCTGCCTCGTTCCACTGGCCCAGCCTGGCTGCCTGCTGCTGCTGCTGCTGCTGCTGCTGCTGCTGGCTCAGGGCCTCGAGAGCCATGGGCCCATGGAGGTCTGAAAGTGGAACCACAAGATTAGTTTTCAAAATCACTGTCCTCATGACTCGGTGGTCTGATATACTGTACAGTTAAGTTTAGGGTGTTTTACAATCTTTTAATTAAGGAAACGTACCAAATAAATTGCATATTTATTTATATATTACATATAAAAAAACATATGATTATGTCCCATCATAATCAATGCAGAGTTTAAATGTAAACAAGGATCTGTTTGCAAATATATATAAAATCATAGAGTATCACTCCTTATGGAGTTAATCCAAAACAAAGAAAAATCAAGAAAGGCATCTTAATTAAGGAACATTTCTTTTTATCATTATTGCCTTTTAAGTTGTTGTAATGTGGTATTGAATCAAATATTTATATTATTAAAAAAGTCAATAACACTAGCTTTAGTCGCACAGACCAAATACCAAGTGATAATATGGGCCAACATCAACGTGAATATTAAGAATGGCAGCTACTTATTAGCCTCCCAGAAATCAAAGGATCTTGCAAATAAATCAGATTACCAGGATAGGAACTACAGTCAGATCAAATTTCTTTTTTTGATGAAAAAAAATGTAATTTGTATTACTTTGTTCAAGGTTAATCTTTACCCGAATTATCAAGCTTGTATTACAACCAACCAAACAATCAAAAATATTCTGTCTTTAAAAAAAAAATATCTACAAAACAAAGTCACCATTTCCCATCCAAACGTTAAGGGTTAGCCTTACTAAAGGGAACAATAATGCTCCACTCACCCAAACTCTCTCCCATGCTTCCATCCTGTCCGTCCTCCCCAAAGCTGTTGACCCTGTTATGCTGCGACAGGCCTGGGTGGTGGACCCCCGCGTGGCCCATTGGAGTCCTAATGGAGCTACTCATCTCCTCCACCCCTACGGACTCCGACCCATCCATAGTGGGAGACTGGACGGCCCTGTGGGGGGGAATGGTGCCACTGAAGAAGGAAGCGTTGTGGCTGCCACCAGCGTAGGCAGGGCTGAGCTGCTGACTCTGGGGGGGCATCCCGGGATGAGGGGGCTGGCCGACCCGATAGGGAAGTCTGGAGACCGGATACTGAGGGGGGAAAGCCCTCCCACTGGCAGGATGTGGGGGGAAAGCTGGGTTGGGTGGGGCCAGGTGGTAGTTGAGGGGTCTTTGGGCAGCTGAGGGATCCTTTCGATGCAGCATCGCATTGGGAAATCCACCAATCCCGTCAGTCTGGGAGTCTAGACTTCGACTCTGGCCTGTGTCTAAATCACCCTGGATACAAAATAAAGATAAAATACATCATGAGCAAAGAGGCGTGGCCATTGATCAATTAGGTCGATTGTTTATGGGGGAACAATAACAAATGAAACACAAGTGTCAACAACATGCCTGTTTTTCCTTCATGTCTGCGGTTTTCCTCTCTGGTGTATGAAGACGGCTCTGTTCTGGCTTTGGACATCCTTCTAATTTACCTGAAGAAGGAAAAAAACATAATTACCATTGGCTTGGCTTTTTAATACAGTCCGTTCTTTCTTTTGATGGAAGAAGAATTAAAGTCATTTGCTAATCTTGGTGGTTGTTCGAAGGGAAAATGTAATTCAAGGCGCACCATTTCTGATGGGGTCAGCCTGGAGCTCCTTGTCGGGGCTGGGCTGGCCCATCCCGAGAGGAGAGGGGTGCCCGACCCCACTGTAGGGGATGGGGGACCCTCGATTCTGGGCCTGCAACAGATTGAAGTTGTAGGCCATGGCCGCCGGGTGGCTCATGATGCGAGGATCCACAGCAAAGCGATTCTGGTAACCTGGCCAAGGCAACTAAGGAAACAAATACACATATGGACAGATTATTGATCAGGAAGCCATAACACAGGAGAGAAGGGTTAACACATACTGTGGATTATGGAGAACACATTGTACATCATATCAAATACATATGAATTCATCAAATAATGTTCTTGCCATATACTATTTGTAAGAAATACTCAAATCTCAACTAAGTGGAGCTATTTAACTAGTAAGTTTATTCTATGAGAAAAAACTTGTGGTATAATTCTGAGCTGGCAACTTTTATGTGAAATAAACTGATATTCTCGCATTATAAAACAAATATTTAGACTGATTAGAAGATTATAATATTGGAATATGACTGTGGCCTGGTGGCACATTGGATAGAGTGGCCTTGTACACATTCTAACAAGTGAATTTGTGTCAGTTTAAAAAGGTGAAACTTACAGGCAGGGGCATGGACATGACCATGTTTCCACCGTACACAGCTGGGACGTAGAGGATACTGGCGCCGGTGTGAGGATCTATCCTCTGAACAGGACTGGGTGACTTGCCCATGCCAGCTGGTGTGCCTCCCAAGGGTGGGCTGAATGCCCGAATTGGGTTTCCCATCAACACGGCTGGGTTGGGTTGCGCTGCAATGGAGAAGATGGCATGTTAATGCAAGTAAGCGCAAAAGGTTCTTAACCGTAATGCGACGACACACTGAGAGCATTCAACACACAAGTCCCAAGCATATCTGACTATTCATAGCTTGGAACATGTCCGATTATACCCTGTATGATTCTAACAGAGAGATGAAAAACAGCTGATGGCCAACCCTGTATCGTTAAAGAAGGGTTTTTATTTAATGTTTTCAGTAGATGATGTAGCTGGCTGACAGTTTTTCAGCGGCTGCAGCAAAGTCCTTGTGTTCGCGCAGTAAACATTGTATTATCAGCTCCTTGCCGTGTTGTTCAGGGCTGCATCGCACTGATGGCTTCAGCAGCCTCAGGCCTTCATGCATCCATCTGGGCGACTGCATTACACTGGCTCATTCTCTCCTGTGTTAAGCTGTTAGATCTGCGCTTGTTTGTGTGTGGGGAGTAAAAGGGAAGAACGGAAACCTGACCATATTCAAAAATATATAAATATGATAATGACAGCAATGCTACAGGGATTTCCTTTACTTTTTTGATGCAGTATTTATTAACCTGAGTAATGTAGAACTTTCATGGTACGTTTCAAATGTGAACTGCATTGTATTCCTATCCCTTTATATACATCCAGACAAGTTAATATTCTAATCACCTTAAATGAGCTAAAACATATGCAGCATATTAAATTGCTTTTTATTGTTATGATCTTTGGGGCTATAAAAAAAAAAAGCTTGCGAAAAGTCTTAAGTTTGCGGTTGCAATTTCAGACATGTCAGAAAACAAGAAAAATACATGAACAGAAGAACCAGGTAACAGCTCAGCTCACCATATCCTTCCGGTGGTAGATGCTCTGTGTGGTTGGCATGTTTTCCCTGTAAGACAAAAGAATCATTAGAAAATCACAAGCAAAACTTAAAGGGTATGCATTAAACAAATATTTGACTGCTTGTTTTTTTACACAATAGGCCAACGTAAAGCTTGGGGTTTTCTTGTAGAGAGGCAGTTTCTATTTACTCATCAACATTTTTAAATATGTCCAATGAATAAAAGCATTTAAATGGAGGAGTCATTATTAAAGGATTTCATTAATAAATCCACTAAAGCCATTGATCGATGTATTCCATAAACAACCACGGATAGAACTAAGCTGTCCAAAATCTCAAACACATAAGATAATTATGTCGGACATAACTGCTGCGTGTGTCCGACATAACCCCGGTTAACTCTGGATTTATTTTGGGACTGCTTTGTTGATTTCATGATACGAGTTAACATGTCCGCCAAGTAAGAACCTTTGTACCACATCTCCAGGGGGCTTCAGTTAACGCACCAGCTTATATACATGTACACGCAGAGTTTCAACTGAATCCTGATCAATGTTGACACACACACTAAATTACTCATGAAGGCCATACACACAATCAGCTCCCGTGAGATCTCCCAATACCTGAGTTTAGGATGATCCTGTCTATTTTATTATTAATTGCTATACGCAAGCATACACAACAATCTACTTAGAGATCTTTCTGCGGCTGGTTCTGTGAAACGCAGTCTCTCTCGGTTCAATGAGGTGTTAACAGATAGTCCCTGATAATAAATACACTTTCTTCAAGCGGAAATTCATGACATGCTACATTCCAATGCCTTTATTATTATGCTGATATTATATAAAGCTAATATTATTATATATCTTTTAGTTAACAGATAGTAATTCTGTTGAATTTTTAAGAAGTCCATGAACTACACTTTTTCTGGCACTTCCTACTACTACTAATTCAGTCGTTGGCACTTAAGACACGCTTTCAAGTATTGCAGCAAGAAGTTTAGAACAAAGATGAATAATAAATAACTTGAACATCTGACATTACAATGCAAACCAGAACCACAAAATATATGACATCACATAATAGGAACGGCTTGTTTTAGCAATGCTGTAAAATGTTCCTGGCAAAGCCTCTATACACCAAGAAGAAGATGTTGGAAAGAAAAGATCATTTGCTGAAAATGAGACACTAGGAGATTCAGCTGTGAATGCTGTATTTTAAATAACAAATTCTGAAAGACAGCCCGATCATAATGGGACAGATGCTGTCAAAACTGACAGGGAACTCTTTCTCAATATGATCCGTCTCCTTCCCGCAGCTTCACACCCAGCATAGCCAATGCTCTTTGGTACTTCAAATATGGTTATATTCGAAGGGCAGCATGTCCTCTCAACCTAAACTGAGAACCAGCCAACATACAATGTGCTTCCACATATAAAGAGATTTAATTTGAAACGGCACCTTTCTTATTGGCATGAGATAATGACATATTATATCAAATGACTGCAACTAAAGCACAAGTCAGTGTCGGTAGAATGCAATGATCTTGTAGTAAATGCACAAAAGATGCAATCTTCTAACATGTACTCTATATTGCGAGAAATATGTTCTTGAAATCAACACAGATGATGTCAGACAGGCAGTCTGCTATTTTAGGACGTAACATCAGCTGATCTAATATGATTAATGTCCTTAAACGGAGAGGATCTGCTGAGAATACATAGCACTTCTTACTGGATGTTTGAGCGATTACATACTTCCTGCTTGTAATGTTACCTTTTCTAACTTTGACTATCCAATGTAAAGAAAAAGGAAGTGATTCCTCAGGTTTGTCTTTGTTAAACCATTTTGAATGTCAAGTGCAGCCGTAAATGTTTGGTTCTCAATGACACTCTTTATCCGTCGGTGAGGTAGTGCTGAGCAATCAATAGCACGAGGTTGTGGTTTGTTGACGAGATAAATAAAGATACTAGAAAGATCTTAATCGAGATGAGCACACAAACACAAACGCTCAAGAATATGTGTCAAAAGGAAGTCACACAAGGCTACGTAACACCAAACATTTCACTTGTTCCCGACACCAACTCACTGCATCACTTCTTACTAGAAAAATCGATGCATACAAAAATAATTTAATTTCATTAATTGAAATTGCAAATCCTATTTCCCCATAACAAATGGCCCTGATAGTGCTGAAGTTTGAAACCACATAAAGCTTTGGAATGCAAGACGTTTCTTTTAAGTGTCAGACTTGCATACTTGCACCAAAACACCATCTGTGTCAGAAAACAGCTCGCCACAATATGGAGTCAACTGAAGCATATATTTCTGGTAAATGGATGCCTTACACACAAACTATACGCTTTCTGATTACATTTACAATTTACAAGTATTTGCAACTACACATTGTTTACAGTTTTTTTGGTCCTTGGGTATTTTGCTTGTTTTTGACATTGAACCGTTTCAACAAATGTATTTATGCATTTTCTGCTCACACTTAAGCAACCACATTCAACCCACCACAGGTTTTATTAGTAACTAGGTTGAGACAATGTTAAGGGGAACTAACTTATAGATTTTTATTTTACATCTGCAGGGATTTGTTAGCTGAACACCACAGTAGGCACAATCTACGGTGGTGCCAGAGAGCTCCAACATCCACATGCTGCATTTGCTGCATTCATTCCATAGTGCGTGGAGATAGCACCATGTCTGTGTGGTACTGAGCCACACAGTTTGACTGTGAAAAGAGAGGAACTGTGGGGGCTCTTTTAAGTCAGCTGATGCTGCGGAGCTGCGGCTCATTAGTCCCAGTGGGAGACAGCAGCAGGTTGGAAGCTGTGGTGATTTCGTTAACCTTTACCTCGGGGCGGGCAGGGAGAATGGACCTACAAAGAGACGTTTCTACTCCACAAACAAACACCACATCCTTCTGTCCAAGCCTGCAATGCTAATTTATTTGTTGTTTTTCAGGGGTCAAAATGAACTGCCAGAAAGTAATTTCCTGTGGTTGAAAATACATGGAGTCATTTTGATAGAGATGTGTTTTGTGCCCGTGTGTGCAGAGCTTCTATCATTTGTTTTGTCTCTAAAAGCAAGGAGCACTCCATTTATTCTGGATCATTTTTGTTACCATTTCCACAAAGCAATAAATGGTTATCCAACAGATTACATTAACATAGAAAACCTTCTAACATTTGAGCTTTTCAAATCATCCTCTGCTCCACCTGTTCGTTTTTGTATTCTGCCTCGCTAAAGCCTATTTACAGTATTCACAGAAGAAATACAGTAAAGGCATAAATAAGATATAAACATTTGATTCATTACCCACCGTTTGGTGTCCGAAGTTGAAAAGCCCATATCAAAAAATGACCATGAATAAGATGTAGGTGGAAAAGAGTAATGCCTTCCACTGAAAACCTCACCTTAGGGGGGGATGGCTGCTGCTGCTGCTGCTGTAGCTGCTGCGGACCCTGCTTGCTGGAGGAGGCCTGTACATGCTGAGGATGTGGGTGGTGGAGGGGGTGGAGGGACAGCGAAGGCGCGTGGTGCCCGAGCAGTGGCCTGAGGGCGCGGGGGATGAACTCTGGGGCCAGTGGGTTGAGGACGTAGGTCTTCTTTAGCTCCAGGGCCTCCAGCTGAGACTTGATCTGCTCGAAGGTGATGCCGTGCAGACTGGAGTTTTCATGGCAGATGGAGATGAAATGCTCCCAGAATTTTCTGTAAAGACAGGAAGCAACAGATGGGGATTAGGTTTTACTTTCTATTTTCCTTTATGCCTCCTTGGATTGAGTGTTTCATGGATCGTATAGTTAATGTGTTGTGCTGGCAGTGTAACAAATGACTCCTTAAAACAAACATGAACAAGGCATGTGCAAAGCAGGTGTTAAAAAGGAGAGAGGAAAGTGAGGAGAAGGAAAATCAGCAGAATGATGAAGCCCACCAAAGGGAAAGCAAATTAATGCTAGGAGGAAAACAGGAGCGACAAGAATGAGAAGAACAAAGAGCATTGTGATCTCTCAGTCTTCAAATCTGTCAGCTTTAACAAATACAATCATACCATTCTCCCTGGAACGAGATGTGAAAATGGGCTTTTAAGGAATAATTGACTTTCTCATGTGGCCATACAATGGTCCTTATACTGTAATAGTCATACAAGAGTGAGAGGAAAACCCACAATGTTAGTGTGCCTTCATTTTAACTGTGATAATCGTCATTATTGTCATGATAAATGGTAGGGTGCTGTTTTTGTGAAACAAAGACAAGTGTTTGCTGTTGTTGTGTGTAGTGACTGCAGCGTATCAGGTCCCCTCTGGGAATCTGATACACAACATTGAAATTGTACATAGCCTTTTACCGTTTAACACATCAATGTTATTGTTCCCTCTCTGCATAATGACATTTGCACACAACCACAAACACCTGACATGTTATAACGAATGTTGCTATGGAGATGGAGGGTTAGTACTAGAGGTGAATGAGAGATTAGAGAACAATTCTAATAGAAATGGTTCAGAACCAAGTGGTCAACATTTTAGTAGCTGATTTAATAGAATCATATTTATCAACAAAGTTTTTAGAAGAGTTTGGAATGAGGAGAATTCATTCTCTACCACATTGAATAGAGGTCTGCTATGTTTCATTGTTGAAGGTTTTAGTTAAAAGTGACATTTTTTACCTGCATCGTCCAACAGAACACAGTGCTATGGGGTCTCCCACCACTGCAACCAGGGACTGGGCTCTGGTGATGGCCGTGTTGAGTAGCTTGTAGTTGGAGAGGAACCCATAGTCCAGGTCCTCTGTCGAGTCCTCAACCAGCTGCTCTTTGCGCTTGATGGCCGTCTGCTTGTGTTTGCACGTGTGCCGCGTCCGCACCGTGCTGAGGAACAGCACCCGGAACTGCTTACCTGCAAAACATATTTATTGTAATGAAGTTTCGAATACTCTGAGAAGCGCTATAAAAAGGAAAAGATTGTTATAAAAAAATGTATTCTAAGGACTTCCCATTAGCCTCAATGCCATGTCTTCAGTATTTCTACAAAAAGAAGAATCCATGTAACTTCTAAAATAGAAAAATATCTTGCAATTATTTGATCTTCTAATGACTCCAGAGGCTGTGTGTGTGCACATGTGCGTCAAAATGTATCATGTGTGACTAATGAGGACGTTAATGACCTGTAGAAAGCAGCTGGATGCAATACAAGTGGGAGCTGCATGAAGCAGACAAGAGATTGGTTAGAGAAACCAGAACTCATATCCTCCTGTTACTGGGACTAGATGATAAGAAGGGCAATATTAACACTGATATCATCAGTGGGGTAAGATTATCATTTTTGATGCTTTGACATAGCTGCTTTTTTCCAATAATCAACTTCCCATTCAATAATTGTAATACACTCTTAAATACTACAGATAAAACCCCAAGATACTAAGTCTTAAATTATTTATGTACATGCAGTACCCCAACTGGGCAATTATCATTTCAGAATATTCCTAAACTTGTACTTATGGTATCACTAGTTTCTCCTTTGAGTCAGGAACTACACACATGTACAGTAGATGCAATACAAATACAAAGCATCACCCTGTTGGCTAACACTCACCTTGGACGTTGAGCACTCTCTCCACGCTGACTTCATGCATTCTCTTCTTTCGGAGCTCGGCACGAATGCGGAACACCTGGTCAGCGTACGGTGACACCACTCCAATGCTGCCGTCGTCCAGCTTACCCCACGCCACCGGCCACTTCTTACGCAACTCTTCCACCCGCTCCACGATCTCAAACACCTGAGGACACAGAGGGGAAACGTGTGGGAATTCAGAGACTGCGGGATACTTTCCAAGTCAAATGTCGGCATTATAATAAAGCCATAAAACTGAATGCTATGGCCTGATTAAAATGGAAAAAGGTTCAGCACTTTATGATCATGCATTGCCAAATGCATTTTACTGACCAACAGACTTATTAACACCTGCAGTTTTGAGTATTACTACGAAACAAATATTTATTAACACAACTTTAAAGAGTCTCACTGTACATGCATTTATCATTTCATCTCCAATCAATGTATTGTGTGTAAACTAAACTTGGCTTGGAAATACATTATTAAAGCAAGAGCTGATATTTTGAATACATTGTTTTTTCAAATCATATGAGCAGTTTTTAGGGCTGCTCAATTAATCATATTTTAATCGCAATTACGATTTTGGCTGGCAACGATTATGAAAACATAATCGAAATAAAACGATTTAAAAATAAAAAAATGTATTATTGGTTTTTCAGTTGAATTATACTTAAAGTTCAGGGTAATCAACTGTTAAAAAAACATACTGTTTACATTTGTTTTCAAATTGATGTTTTCAAAGTAAATGGATAATCGTTTTTAATAATCGTGATATCAATTATTGACCCAAATAATCGAGATTATGATTTTTGCCATAATCGAGCAGCCCTAACAGTTTTTCAACTCATGTTCAGATCGTTTGCAAAGTGACGAAGACTTTGAACAGTCAGGGAAATATTGTCTTCCACTTGTCTTTGTTTATTCCCATGCAAGTGTCTTTGATGGGTTTTCTAAACCCATCAAAGACACTTGCACGGGAATAAACAAACTGACATGCTTTTTCAATGCATTTTCGAATGATTATGATAATGTTGTTAATGGTTTGACATGAGTGCTGTATCAAAGAGAAGGGGGGTAATTCATTTGGCATTGCTGACATTTTGGTCGCAGAATAGAGAAGCGTCCATAGTTTAATTTGGGGGGGTCTGAGACTGCCAATGACCACAAACGCATGAATCTACAGAAGAACCAATCAAAGGCAAGAGCTGTTAGAGAGTCAAGACATGGCTGTCAAATGTGGCTCCTAATTAAAGTGTATGGGTTTCATCTTTAATTAGGATTAAAGACAGTGAGTGTGATGGGGAGACATTAAAACAGCTGATCACTTTCGGATAGGCATTCTGCTTTTACTCAACCCAATTCAACTCAAACTAAAATACATTTCTTTGCAATGAAAACCCTGAATTATATATATCAAAACGGGAACGCATAAATACTTTAAATGCTTTTTCACACACATACAATCAAACCAAGTGACACAAATTGAACTGAAATACAGCGAGTCAGATGTTCATTCATGTGCAACTAATCTATCTTGTTCCAGCAAGTTTAGCGCTTTTTTTTTTTGTGTAAAATGCTTGTAATTTCATTATATAAATGTATTTATGAATATTCTAATAATTTATTTATTTCCAAAAGTTACATTCACTTGGGGAGTACATATTAACACAAATCCTTACATTTTTTATAAATCTATATTCCCCAAGCAACATTCACACAAAGACTCTACCTAACACTATGGCCAGTTGACTGGTTCATAATGTATATGAAAACCTCGTGAGGCCTGCCACGGCCAAAGAACAGGATCATAACAATGATATACCTCTGCGTTGTTGTAGTACGCAGTGCTGTTCTTCTCCTGGACATCTTCTCCTCGGGCTGTGAAGAAGGTTAGAGGGTAGAAGTCCTTGTGGGAGGGCTGCTTCCCGCTTGCCATCAACTTCCCATCGTAAAATAATTCTGACGTGTAGCTGTAGAAAAACAGGAAAAGCAAAATAGTTAGAATATGTTGAGAAAAGAGTGGGTTAGTGCAAATATATCTATCAGGAATTACTGATAATTGAAGACAAGGAAAACAGATATGTTTGTTATGAAATCTGATTACCTTTTACGACATGTATATATTAATACACACACACATTTCACTATTACACAACCTGGGATGTATGAGATTTTGACCCAAATATGAACTGCACTTTTACACAGCCAAATTAGTTTTTAATGACTGACTTGTTCAAAGATCCAAGAGATATGAGATATTGTGCCTTATAATAATAAAAAAACAAAGATATGTCTAATGTCCAAGTTGTTATCAGTGTGTGCGTATGCTTATGTGTGTAAGAGAGAGAATAATAATAATATGAAAAAAAATAGAATAACTGTGTATATCAGTACTTTAATGATGATAATAACCATTTTAATTTTGGTCAATTTAATCATATCATGACCTTTTCTTTGTTCGCCGTTTTATCTCTAGTGTGTGTTTGAGTGTGTTCCTCTTTTGAAGCAACAGTATGCAGCAAGGCCTGGCACTGACCAGTGAAATGCAGTATGAACAACAACCTACTTGCAAAATGTAACATTGGGCTAAAGAACATACTGTTACATTGTAGATGCATTGCGGCAGCTGCACAAACTTTTCTTTGTGTCTGCCTGTCCATTTTACCTGACCCCTCTTCTCTAGAGTATTTCAGATTCTCCTCCCAAAGTCTCAACACAAGGGGCTCCCACTTACTTGATGATAGCTTCATGAGAGCGGTAGTTCTCGCACAGGAGAATGCGACAAGGGTATTCAGCGGGGTAGTGCTCGTACAGGCGGTCCAGCAGTGACACGTGCAGGTTACGCTCCCGCGCAAACTCACTGTACACAAATGGACTGAGCTGCAAATCGAGAGATACAAAAAGGTCAGTTTAAAAGCATGACGAAGATAAATAAGTCTGTCATCATTATTTTTCTCTCCATTTCCATTTGGTATTTGGAATCAATCAAAAGTTGAACAAAGCAGTGTGTCAAACCTCACACATAAAAGACATGTTTTTCAGGACACCCTGTCCTCCATGGCACATAAAGTAGCTTTGCAAGGCAGGTCTACAATAACTACATGTGTTTGCAATCTCCTTTATGATTCCAAAGTTATTTAAATAACATTTCCCAGGCATGTCATCTGCTTTGACAGCACATGTTGCCTTATATTTACATTTCTTCAAATGAAGTTTAAATCCTAACAGTTTGGTATCTGAGTTTGTTGCTTGAGCATTTATAGTTGCTATTTACATTTTTTCAAAAAAGCTTTTAGTAAGCAAGGATGCTCCAAGTGTTCCTACTTTTAATTAGTTGATTTTAACAACTGACTTCCTGTGTTAAGGAACATAAGATGAAAAAGTTGTTTCTCTACTTCTGACTTGTAAGCTTTTCCATCTGGTGTTTATGTCAATAAACAAACAGACCTTGAGTCGCAGTGATTAAGTGGAATTGACTCAGTGATTTCACAGCAGTTTGAGAACATGCCAAATTCAATATTTATATATATTTATATATTCAGTGGCCAGTCTTAGTTACTGATCTGCTCCAAAATGTCACTGTTAGCAAGCCTAAGCAATAAAGTGAATAAATCAAGCATAACTTCAATATTTCTTTGGTCTGACAGTAGTAACCAAGATGTGTGACCACCATCCCAATGTGCTTTGATTTGAATGAGACTTCACATTGAAAACTGGAAGCACCCACACAAGAAAGAGGGCTATTTATCTTGAGGTTGACTCTTAATGTAAGCCCGTTAGAGAGAGCGGGTCAGCCGGCTTTAATGAGGCCCCACACGGTCAATAACAAAGCAAACCATCAAAGGCCTCCATTGACTATTCAGACTGCTCTAATGCTGCTGAATAATGGAGGCACACTGTTCAAGTGTGAGCAGAAAGGCTGAGGAGACAGAGATATTGTATGAAAAGGACAACATCCTGCATTTGTTGAATAACTAATCGATAATGTAGGACAGATGAGTAATTAAGACCTAAGAAAAGGTTGTCTTCTAAATCTTCTTATCTTGGTTAAAAAAAAGTAGCAAAGAGAGAGTAGTCAGAGAAGTCTTGGTCTTCATTCGCCGCCTGCTGCTGTAATCCCGTGCCAAGTCTTAAAACCAGGAGTGGGGGATACGGTTTGAATTCCTTGTTTTGGCTTACAAAGCTTTATTGATGTATTTATCTGGGCCTGAGGTGGACCCCAGAACCACAGCTCTACAGTTACTTGTAATTATGACTTCTACTTGTTCATAGATATGCTCTGTACCTGTATTGCTTCACTGGTAAGTATCGGTTTGCCTTATAGGAGTAAAAAGATAGTATTTGTTACATGATATGGTCTAGTTAAGAAAAGAAAAACAGCTTTGTTTCACTGGAGAAAGTCTTACCTGCATATGGTCTCCAGCCAGCACAATGCGCGTGGTCCTGGTAGCGAGAGCAAAAGGCATGATGGTTTCACACTCCATGGCCTGGGCCGCTTCATCCAACAGGATATGAGAGAAAAACCCTGTCAAAGGAGATAACATCAATTTAGTAATAATACTTTAAGTAAATCATGTTGACAACAGAAATGGGCAGCCTTTTTTTATAAACATTTATTGAACAACAGTACAATAACACACAGAAAAAGCCAGTATTTTTAAAAATGTATCTGTGGGTAAAATTATATATTTTTTATATTCTAAATCTATAGTTTTAGGACAATACAGGTTGTGATGGGCTAAATAAAGTGTACATTACTGGCCCTGGTTTATAAAGTATTTGCTAATGATGGTATCATTTGTATATTGAGGCTGAAATCAGCATACCTGCCAACCCTAACGATTTGGGCGGTAGTCTACCGCTTTTGACATGTTTCTACCGCCTACCGACTTAGCTGGCTTTCCCTACCAATTTTCAATCTTCCCAAACTATAACAAATAAAAATGACACTCCATAGACACTGGACTCGACTTTTGGTGGACATCGTTTGCAGCGTGATCGCATCATACAAACAGTAGTCCTCTGTGTTTCTGAAAGAGAAACAACGTGCAGACCGGGGGTAACCCCCGACGAGGCATTTGAGTCCTGCAGGATTCCCCCGTTAATATCAGTGTCTCGAAAACACATGTTGGCGACTGAAAGACATCCAGTGTTTGGTCTTTTCCGGAAGCATCCTACAGTGTCTCAACTGAAAGAGGACCACAAACACACAATAACACACCAGACATGTCGTTAATGTCTCTGTTTATTGAACTACAGAAATCTTAAAGCCTGTACATTATTTATATCACACTTTATCAGTTGAAAAATGCATGAAATGACTTTCTTTTTTTTTCTTTTTTTAAATGCAGTATTTTCTGATATGTCGCGCAACACAAAGATATTTCGCTCTGTGCAAACCTTTTTTGCACTTTTAGATTTGGAAAGGTTGGCATGTATGAATCAGAGGTTCTCTTACTTGCAGATATGACCACATCAGCCATTTATCATGAACCCACTTTGTAAATATGTCCTTACGTGACTTCATCGTGGCGGTAAAGTGCTAGAAAAATACAGAGCCTCCAATTTCTTTACGTGATGCCTTTTCAGCACCACAGGTTCTCTAAAGTGCTCCAAGAGAAGGCTTGATAAAAGATCCATAACCTGTGCCTTTCAATGTTGAACTACTGCAGTAGAACAAACCTCAGAACTCATTTAACAAGATAATACTTAGAAGCAGCTTATGTAGAGGATATTAAAGTTATGGTCTTGAAAGATAGCCTTCAGATGTTCATTCATAAAACATTGATATGTTGAATATTATAAGCATCAAAATTATTTGAAATAAAAGCCTATTGAATCAAGTTGAATCAGATGATGCCTACTCATACCTTGACCTAGTAATGTCAACTATTGTTACATTGAAACATTTGGGAACAATATTGTTGTTCATTAACACCCTGATTCTCAGTCATTTTTGTTCACCTCCTTTCAAGCAGCCCTACACACCAAAGGCAGGGTTTTGTGGACGTTTTGAAAGGTATTGAACAGTAGCCTGATTTCAAAAGCTCAAACAGGGCTCTGCAGTATGAGGGGAAGGGGATGAAACGGCATGGCAAATGACGGCTGGAGCGGGGAAGAGAGAGGCTGCATAACAACCAGCAAACAGCCTCTGAAGCCAGAGAACAATTTCCACAGCAAAGTATACGTAGATATGAAATTTGACGGTAGGAAATAACAAAACTAACTGAGAGACTGTCAAAAAGCAAACAAACAACATAAGTAAAAGAGGTGGAGCATTGTGATTTGAGGCAACATTCCCTTCTTTGCATCTGCCTTTGAACAAATGCCTGCAAAACGTATTGATTTGTTTTACTACAACTATAAAGCAAGCCTCAAACCAGTGTTTTCTCTGTGTGCACCTCGCTGAAGGACAGCACTGTTCACTCGCTGTCGTGCTGATAAAAAGGAGTACATATATTTTCTTTAAATGGCCCATGTTTTAACACACAGGGTTGTTGCTCATAATGCGAGAAATGTATCATAAAAACTTTAAAGTGCTGTACCAAATGTGCAAAAGTGCACTTAAGAGAGTGTGAAAGAGCACTCTGCGGGCAAATGTTTCTTGAAAATCATGTATTAAAACAGAAAAAGAAGAAAATGGAGAAGGCATTGCTATTCCGAAGATGGTGTGTAATATGCATAAAATCATGCTCATTAGTCATCACTGGATAATAGTCATGTACTTAAAATGATGTGCCTGAGTAATCTCTGAATCCACACTTTACAGACGAATGAAATCCAACATGGCGAGTCTTTATTGTGTTGAGAGCAATGGATTGGAGGGGGGTGGATTGTTTTCATCATTGTATGGAATATGACTTGCTCAACAATGAAGTAGTCGTACACTGTATCAAAAAACTAATCGTATATTTGTGTAATTCAAATGATTAGGAAGTACTGTAATTTTCGGACTATAAGCCGCACCTGAATATAAGCCGCAGCAGCGGCATACCACTCTCGGTTCCACTTTTACTTTTGCGCGCTACCTGTCTCACTCTTTTCCGGCCTCCAGCTTTTCCTGCTGGAACCCGCCGCTTAAAGGTGGGGGTCCGCGGACCGGCCATAGAGCCCATAGAGTTAAAGGTGTTGGCCGTTAGCTGTAACAATCCATAGATTAGCCGCACCGTTATATAAGCCGCAGCGTCGAAAAATAGGGAAAAAGGCGCGGCTTATAGTCCGAAAATTACGGTAAATCATTTCATTTATTTAAGTATTTGCTTTGATCAAGGTTTTTCTGGCATTGAGTGTTTGCATTATGTATTTTATGCTGCTTAGAGCTAGCTTGATCATAATTCCCTATTGCCCAAAAAATATACATTTAACAATGTTGCAAAGATCATCATACGTTAAAATAAACCTTTGGCCAAAACACTTTTAATACTGGTTCATTCCTGAAGGCATAATAATATTTCTCAAAAGCCTACATTTATCATATTGTTCTCTAAGCAACTTACAGATAACTTAACTAGCCTATATGGACATTTTAACATAGATTTGATCAGCACCTAGAAAGCGTTAACGCTGATCTCCGAATCCCATCTTTTTTACCGACTATAGGTCTGATAAGGACTGGCCGTATAACTTTATTTCCCACTGTGGGGGCTGTGTCATTTTCTGTGTTCATGTGTGCCCAAGTGAATTGTAGGTCTACATAGGCGTAGGCGGTCCTTTACACTACTAAGTTACTACAAATCATCCAGATGTGCAGCCGTTATATTACAAACCAGTCCGAACACTGTAGTCAGTGGGAGGCCTGTTTGCTCTTCCACTTAGATTCACATGGATGTAACGGCATATAGTGCTCACAAATAATGTACATGGGTCATTTCAATTGGAATTGTTTTCCCAGGCAGAGAAATGGGGATGGGGTGGGGGGGGAGGCAGGAAGGAGGCAGATATTGTCCTTATAAGCAGCAAGTAGACAGAGAGGCGGACATACATAATGCCCGCCTTGGGGACCACAGAGCCAGAGGTCCAAATTACATTTCTGTTGCTGCTATCTGTCATTGGACTAATAACGGTGTTTGAATTTAGAAAGAAAGAAGCAGGGGGGTAGAATAGCAGCACAGTCTTTCAGAAGTCATTTAAGGGACAGATGACGGTTGTAATAATACATATTGAATCCTTTACCTCACACACCCAGTCTCTCACATTCTCCCTTCACAGTCTCTTTCTACCCTTTTAAAAGTGCGAAAAGATCCATAACTCTTTGTTTAGATTAGGGTTGGAAGCTTCATCTCTGTGAACTCTGTTAAAAATCTATGACTGCTCAGAGCAGGGCTAGGAGATCATCTGTGTGAGCATCTGACATTGTTCTTGAATGTGTTCTGGTGCCAGACACACAATGGAAACGCATTAGGGGAGAATTTCATTTCAGATTTCCTTATTGACTACAGTATGAGCTGTAGCCTTGAACCTTTATCACCAGGCTGCATAATCCAGTAGTCTACAGACAGATCCATCTTCACTTGAGCCACAGCACACAACTGCTACAAAATTACAATTCAGCATCATCTATAGAAGTGCACAGATTCCTCTGATAGCCTCAAATGAGCTCATTTCGGTGTTTATGTTTCTAGGATGATTTATTTAGCTCCAGAATAATAATTAAAACGTGATATTAATTATAACTATGTCCAGTGACTCCAAAATAAAAAAAGGGATCCAGTTGATCATTGTAGAAAGCAAACAACTTTCTACAATGAGTGGACGCGGAGCAGTTATTCATGTTTAATAGTCATTTGGAAGTCCTGCTCCTTGAACAAATAATGAGTCTCAATGCAAAGCTCGTACACAGACAGACCAAACGCTGCATATCATCTGCTGGATTCAATATATTGGCCATTAACAGAGAGGAGCATCAACAAACAAGACATTTAATAGATTCTTTTTGGAGCATCTGTGTGTTTGGGGTGGAAGATTTGTTATCGCTACTTAGTAGACTCTCTGGCTCCCAATTGCCTTGTTTTCTGGTGATTTCCATCACCGTGGAACACCGAGAGAGCTGGAGAGATGAAACGTGGGGAGGGGGGCTAATGATGTCAAATGCATTAGAAACAGGCAGATGGTGTTCCCAAGCAACAGACAAAGCCGCCTCTGCTGACACATTAGAGTGGGTTATTAGCCTGCAATGACAAACTGGTTTGTTTTCCATGTCTTTTGCACGACTTTGATCCCTGTCTTAATGGTGGGCTCCTGCCATCTCCAGATAGGAGAGTCAATAGAGAACCGCAGTGACGCGTCGTAAAACCCGGAAGTAAGTTAGCATTTTTGGCACTTCCGGTTCCTTCCTCAAAAAGCAATGCATTTTTTCCATAGGGTTTTGGAAAATAGCTCGAAATAAGGTCTGTGGTTGACACAAATTTAAGAGGTAATTGACGTTTTGTTCTACGACATTAAATACATCAGCAGTGACCCCACTGGGGATTTTTGAAGAGTTTACGTGTCTGAAAAACGATGGTTGTTACCGAATGGCTGAATAGGACTACAGAAATTGTCGAGGCCGTTGTACGTCATTACGCCGAACACGTAAACACTCCCGCTAAGTTTGTTTTGCCCTGTGTTCTTCTTGAAAGCAAGTACTTGCCTATCTTTAGTATCTGTATATCTATATCTGACCATTAGAATCTGTATTTTTGAAATTGTCGTTTTTAACACCGTAGTTTTACAAATTATAGAATAATTAATTACCAGTGTTTTCCAATTTTACTCGGCAGTTCGTTTCGTTGGCTAACGTTAGCTAAAGCTAGCGCTACTAGTTAGCTACGCAATGGTTTGTTGCTTTGCTCCGGGTTGCAGCCACAGGTCTTCGCATGAAACGTGCTTGTTCTATCGTTTCCCGGCCAATGTTTTCCAAAGGA